TTTACGGGACATCTTCGTTTAGTACCCTTTTGACTTGACTGAATGATGACGATGGGACATTTCGACCAGATTTTGACTGAATGATGTAGAAATTGAAAGTAAGTTTTGGAAAGGTCAGTTATTCGGTTTGTGCGGCCACTTCAAATTTAAATAAAAATGTATTTGTTGACATGTTAAAAAAGATTTTTATATATTTATAAACAATGATATTTGAACAAATTTGTCCTAAACACTATACTAAGCTTTATTTAAATCTTACCTTTAAACTAAAAATAAAAAATAAAAAAAAAAATATTTATATTTAGAATTTTAGATATGTTTCTTGACTCATATTTAAACAGCTATCCAAGTGTCCTTTTAAGCTAGAAAAACAAGAAGAAAATGTCCTTTTAAGTTATTATTGACACCGAGGTGGAGGTTTAAGAAGAAAAGGGAAAGTGCCTTTTAGTCCACCACATATGGAATAAAAGGACCCATATACTGATATGAATATATCAAAAAATTTCTTCATGTCGTTCCATTTAGGAAACAACTTACGGATAAGATTGGTAGACTGAAGAAAAAGTAGAGAAAATATATAGGAAAAGGCAAGAATCCGTTTTTCTCTAAGCCTTATGAACGATATGGGGTAATCGTATATACGTAGCAGCAGCTAGTGGTGGAATAAAGGCTAGTGGAGATATTCCAGATTGAATGAGTCATGACCACGAGTTGTCGGAGTCTGTGGAAGTGCCAATGCAAAGAAGATGGAGGAAAAATGGAAAATTTTGCATATTCATGAAATGGAGTTATACCTAAAACGTGTTCACTTAATTCATCAATAGACTAAATTAGTGTTGGATGAAATCAAGTCAGTCAAGTCATAAGAGTATTGGTTGATATTAGTAGCATTTTTGTTTAATGGGTCGTGAATTTTTGGTAAAATTGGATGCTTATATTTGGTTTTTGGTTCGGTGTAGTAAAATTTTGCTTCTCTAATTCCTTGTTGCTTATATAAATGCATTTTTATTAATATTTATATTTAGGTAAATGCTTATACAATTGCTTAAAATGACAAAATTATCAATCTCACATCTATATATATATATATATACACACACACACACAAGTAGGATAAGATACAACCTCTCCAATAATTAAGGTTTAATATAGGATGCTTTTCCTTAATTATTTGATAGATAGGCTTTTCCTCAATTATTGGAGAGATTGTTATCTTATCATACTTATATATATATATATATATATATATATATATGGGCAAAGTACAGAAAACCCCTTTCAACCCCCTCATCTAATTTTTTTTATCAAAGATCCTTTCTCGACTTGTAACCCTTTCTAATAAATCCCCCTTATCTAATTTTTTTACCAAAGAACCCTCTCAATTATCTAGGGGGTAAAAGAGTTGATATTTAGATCAAAATGCCCTTTGATTTAAATCTTATTTTTCTCGAACTTCAAAAATTCATATCTCACAAACCGTACATCCAAATATTACAAATAATATATGCATGGAAAACTTATAAAACAAGGATTCTAGAAATATAAGATTTGTTTAATAAAACTTCATAACCAAAGAGAAACAGACAATCTAAAAATCTATTGCAACAATTTTATTTTATTTTAATTTTTATAAAATACTCGGATTATTTGCAAGAAAATTTTCATAATTATTCATTTTCATATTGAGCATAACATATATAAAATAGCCCCAATAGAGATCGAAAATTCATTTTTATTTATTTTTAAATGGTAAGTTTATAAAAGAATGAAAATACTTTGACGCAAAATATGATATCTAATGAAATCGATCTCTGTTGGGGCTAAATTTTTTATATATTCGGCTCCATATGTAAATAAATAGTTCCAAAAATTTTCTTGCAAATATCTTGATTATTTTAATAAGATTGGTGGAGTAGATTTTTAGATTGCCTATTTCTCTATAGTTATTGTAAATAAATAGTTCTAAAAATTTTCTTACAAATATCTTGATTATTTTAATAAGATTGGTGGAGTAGATTTTTAGATTGCCTATTTCTCTATAGTTATGAAGGTTTGTTATACAAATCTTATATTTCTGAAATCCTTATTTCATAAGCTTTCTTTGCATATATTATTTACAATTTTAAAATGTACGGTTTGTGAGATGTGAATTTTTGAAATTCAGGATAATTAAGATTTAAATAAAAGGGCATTTTGGTCTAAATATCAACTCTTTTACCCCCTTCAGATAATTGAGGGAGGTTCTTTGGTAAAAAATTAGATAAGGGGGATTTTTTTGAAAACGACTACAAGTCGAGGGGGGTTCTTTGGTAAAAAAATAGACAAGGGGGTTTACTAGAAAAGGCTATAAGTTGAAGGGGATTTTCTGTACTTTGCCAGATATTTATATATATATATATGCATATTTGGTTTACTATATATTTTATGTATATGTTTACTATATATATATATACAAGTATGCTCAAATGTCTTACGCTCATGGGGCTTAGAGACGTTTTTCGGTGTAGTAAAACATTAAAATTGAATTTATGCTTCTCTAAACATTAAAATCAAGACTTCTTCTCTTCGATAGCTTGACGGTCATTGTCAGCCTTTCTCTTCTTCCTCTGCTGCTCCGGTATCTCATTTTGTTCTGACGTCTCTGCCGAACGTTTCACAGTAGGCTTTGGGAGGGGTTTGGAAGAACGACAATCAGATTTCGATTAAGATTCTGATTCTGAATGAGAATCTTCTTCAAAACTGGTTGAATTGGATTTTTGGACAGCCGGTGATCTCTTGTCAATAGGCAGAGGACTATTTCCCACTTTTTCTTCTACATCTCTTCTTCATCTTCATCATCTTCTTCTGCTTTGTCACTCACAGATTCGTCTTCATCTTCATCTTCATCTTCATCATCTTCACCATCTTGTCTTTGCCCTCCTACTTCGGATTCGGATTCATCTTTTTCTTCTTCTGCGTCTTCAATTTCGCTATTTGTATTAATCTTCTCTTTTTATGCATCTGATTCCTCCACCTTCTCATAATCATACTCCTCCTCATCATCACGGTTCTTTTCATCTTCTTCTTGACTGTTTGTTGTAACCATGTTCTTCTGATGTTGTTTCTCATCTTTTTGTTGGTCGATGGTGTTGTTCATTTGCTCATCTTTTTGTTGGTCAGTGGTGTTCGAATTCATTATCTTATTATTCAGAAGATGAAACAGGAGGAGAAGTTTTTATAGTATATGTGTATCAGTGTGTATGTTAATCTAGAGAGAGATATGGAATATTTCCCTAGCTAGAGAAATGAATATACACGGCAGCTTAATTTTAGGTATCCAAACTATAATATCGACAGCTTAATTTTAGGTATCCAAACTATAATATGATATAATTCTATAATTTGGAGACAACAACAATTTTTTAATTGACAATTTTAATATATTTTATTACTAATTCTTTGTTATTTTATTATCTTTATAAAATAAGGGTAATTTAGGTATCCAAAATATAATATGATTTTTGCCTATAATTGTCTTAAATATATTTTCATTCAAACCAAATACATACTAGAAAATAAAATTTCTTTTTATTTTCCATTACTTTTCTTTTCATTTTTATTCTTCATTTCTTGTTATTTCCATATAACCAAACCAAGCCTACTGAATTTTTAAATTTGAATGATTCTCATACTAGATTTGAATAATTGTTGTAAAATTAATTATGTGAGAATGTGTATCTCATTCGAATTCAAATCCCTTTAATATAGGATGCTTTTCCTTAATTATTTGATATATAGGCTTTTCCTTAATTATTGGAGAGATTGTATCTTATCATACTTGTGTATATATATATATGTGTGTGTGTGTGTGTTTAGGTAACTATATATATATATATATATATATATATATATATATGTGTGTGTGTGTGTGTGTGTGACATTAAGAGATTGATTTACTTCACATCGCAGCAATAGAGATTTGTAGTACTAATTTCGTCGAAAATGTAAATGGCATTGCGACAACAACGATTTATGTAAAGAAAAATGGGGTATTTTGAATTTGTGAATTTGTGGCAAATTGCAGAGTTTGTTGTAGTGATTGAAGACCTAAGTCATGAAAGAAGATTATCCAAGGTCCCTAAATAGTAGTAGAGTTCAAAACAACCTATATATAAAAATAAAAATAAATGATAATTTCCTCATTTTAAGCAACTATAAGCATTTACCTAAATATAAATAAAAGTAAAAATACATTTATATAAGCAACAAGGAATTAGAGAAGCAAAATTTTACTAACTAAAAACCAAAAATAAGCAGCTAATTTTACCAAAAATTCACAACCCATTAAACAAAAATGCTACTGATCTCAACCAAAACTCTTATGACTTGACAGACTTGATTTCATCCAACACTAGTTTTTACTAACTAAAAACCAAAAATAAGCAACCAATTTTACCAAAAATTCACGACCCATTAAACAAAAATGCTACTGATCTCAACCAAAACTCTTATGACTTGATAGACTTGATTTCATCCAACACTAGTTTAGTGTGCTTATGAATTAAGTGAACACGTTTTAGGTATAACTCCATTTCATGAATCTGCCAATTTCTCCACTTCTCCTTGATTTTCTCTACATTGGCACTTCTAACCAAATGCAATCCTTCCTTCAAGAAGTTCCTCCTAGACTCCGACAACCCGTGGTTTACCCACTGCAATGACTCATTCAATCTGGGATACATGGACAAAAAATTTTGTCCACTAGCCTTTATTCCACGTCTAGCTGCTGCTACGTATACACCACAACCCTATATCTTCTTTAAGAGCTCGAATGTCTTGTGCTCATGGGGTTTAGAGAAAAACGGATTCTTACGTTATCCTGCATTTTTCTTATACTTTTTCTTAAGCCTACTGATCTTATCCGTCAGTTGTTTCCTAAACGGAACGACATGAAGAGAATTTTTGATATATTCATGAAAGGTATCCATATCAGTATGTGGGTCAACCCCATTACTCAAATTTTACTCGACCATTCCCTTCAAGATGGCAATTTCATCCTCCTCGATCCAAAACCTACTAAAAGCAGACTTCTTCTCTTCGATAGCTTGACAACCATTGTTAACATTTCTCTTCTTCCTCTGTGGCTCTGGTATCTCATTTTGTTCCGACTTCTTTGCAGGACATTTCACAATAGGCTTTGGGAGGGGTTTGGAAGAGCGACAATCAGATTTAGATTCAGATTCTGAATAAAAATCTTCTTCAGAACTAGTTAAATTGGACTTTTGGACAACTAGTGATCTCTTGTCAATAGGCAGAAGACTATTTCCCACGTCTTCTACTTTGTCACTCACAAATACATCTTCATCTTCATCATCTTCACCATCTTCACCATCTTGTTTCTGCCCTCCTGCTTCGGATTCGGATTCATCATTTTCATCTTCCGCATTTTCATTTTCACTGTTTGTATTAATCTTCTCTTCTTCTGATTCCTCCGCCTTCTCATCATCCTCCTCCTCCTCATCATCACAGTTTTTTTTATCTTCTTCTTGACTATTTGTTGTAACCGTGTTCTTCTGATGTTGTTTTTCATCTTCTTCATGACTATTTGTTGTAACCGTGTTCCTCATCTATATTTGGAGATAGCAACAATTTTTTAATTGAAAATTTTAATATATTTTATTACTAATTATTTATTATTTTATTATCTTTGTAAAATAAGAGTAATTTAGGTATCCAAACTATAATATGATATTTTCCTATAATTTTCTTAAACATATTCTCATCCAAGCCAAATATATACTAGAAAATCAAATTTCTTTTTATTTTCAATTTCTTTTCTTTCCATTTTTATTTTTCATTTCTTTTCTTGCTATTTCCATATAACCAAACCGAGCCTAATGAATTTTTGAATTTGAATGATTCTCATATCATATTTGAATAATTGTTGTAAAATTAATTAGGTGAGAATGTGTATCTCATTAGAATTCAAATCCCTTTAATATAGGACACTTTTCCTTAATTATTTGATAGATAGGTTTTTCCTTAATTATTTAAGAGATTGTATCTTATCATACTTGTGTGTGTGTGTGTGTGTGTATATATATATGCATAGATGTGAGATAGAGAGATTGATTTACTTCACATCGCGGCAAGAGAGATTTGTAGCACTAATTTCGCCGGAAATGTAGACGGCGTTGCGACAATAACGATTTATGTAAAAAAAAATTGAGTATTTTTAATTTGTGGCAGACTATAGAGTTTGTTGTAGTGATCGAAGACCTAAGTCATGAAAGAAGATTATCCAAGGTCCCAATATTAGTAGAGTTCAAAGTAACCTAAATATAAAAAATAAAATAAATGATAATTTCCTCATTTTACTGTATAAGCATTTACCTAAATATAAATAAAAATAAAAATGCATTTATATAAGCAACAGGAATTAGAGAAGCAAAATTTTACTACACCGAACCAAATACCAAATATAAGCAGCCAATTTTACCAAAAATTCACGACCTATTAAACAAAAATGCTACTGATCTCAACTAAAACTTTATGACTTGACAGACTTGATTTCATCCAACACTAGTTTAGTCTATTGTTGAATTAAGTGAACACGTTTTAGGTATAACTCCATTTCATGAATCTGCAAATTTCTGCACTTCTCCTCCATCTTCTCTACATTGGCATTTCCAATCAAATGCATTCCTTCCTTCAAAAAGTTCCTCCCAGACTCCGACAACCCGTGGTTTACCCACTGCAATGACTCATTCAATCTGGGATACATGGACAAAAAATTCTCTCCACTAGCCTTTATTCCACCACTAGCTGCTGCTACGTATACACCGCTACCCCATAACTTCTTTGTTGCGCTCATTGGGCTTAGAGAAAAACGGATTCTTGCCATTTCCTGCATTTTTCCAGTAGTTTTTCTTCAACTTACTGATCTTATCCATCAATTGTTTCCATAACGGAATGACATGAAGAGAATTTTTGTACTCAACCATTCCCTTCAAAATGGCATTTTCATCCATCTCAATCCAGAACCTACTAAAAGCAGACTTATTCTCTTCGATAGCTTGATGGCCATTGTCAACCTTACTCTTCTTCTTTTATGGATCCGGTATCTCATTTTGTTCCAACGTCTCTGCCGGACGTTTCACAGCAGGCTTTGGGAGGGGTTTGGAAGAGCGACAATTAGATTTAGATTCTGATTCTGATTTTAATTCTGAATGAGAATCTTCTTTAAAACTGGTTGAATTGGATTTTTAGACAGCTGGTGATCTCTTGTCAATAGGCAGAGGGCTATTTCCCACTTTTTCATCTACATCATCATCATCATCTTCTTCTTCTTCTTCTGCTTTGTCACTCACAGATTCATCTTCATCTTCATCTTCACCATCTTGTGCGTTTTCATTTTTGCTGTTTATATTAATCTACTATTCTTCTGCATCTGATTCCTCCACCTTCTCATCATCATCCTCCTCCTTATCATCACCACGGTTCTTTTCATCTTCTTCTTAACTATTTGTTGTAACCGTGTTCTTCTGATGTTGTTTTTCATCTTGTTCTTGATTGTTTGTTGTAACCATGTTCTTCATCTATATTTGGAAACAACAACAATTTTTTAATTGAAAATTTTAATATATTTTATTACTAATTATTTATTATTTTATTATCTTTATAAAATATTGGGAATTTAGTTATCCAAACTATAATATGATATTTTCCTATAATTTTCTTAAATATATTTTCATCCAAACCAAATACATACTAGAAAATCAAATTTCTTTTATTTTCCATTTCTTTTCTTTTCATTTTTATTTTTCATTTCTTTTCTTGCTATTTCCATATAACCAAACCCAGCCTAATGAATTTTTGAATTTGAATGATTCTCATATCATATTTGAATAATTGTTGTAAAATTAATTATGTGAGAATGTGTATCTCATTAGAATTCAAATCCCTTTAATATACGATGTTTTTCCTTAATTATTTGATAGTTTGCCACATATGCATGTTTAAAGAAATATATATATATATATATGAGATATTGAGAGATTGATTTACTTCATATCATGGCAATAGAGATTTGTAGTACTAATTTCGTCGGAAATGTAGACAGCGCTGCGACAATAGTATTTTGAATTTGTGGCAAACTGCAGAGTTTGTTGTAGTGATCGAGGACCTAAATCATGAAAGATGATTATCCACGGTCCCAATAGTAGTAGAGTTCAAAACAACCTAAAATAAAAAATAAAAATAAATGATAATTTCCTCATTTTAAGCAACTGTATAAGCATTTACGTAAATAAAAATACATTTATATAAGCAACAAGGAATTAGAGAAGCAAAATTTTACTACACCGAACCAAAAACAAAATATAAGCAGCCAATTTTACCAAAAATTCACGACCCATTAAACAACAACGCTACTGATCTCGACCAAAACTCTTATGACTTGATAGACTTGATTTCAACCAACACTAGTCTAGTATGTTCATGAATTAAGTGAACACATTTTAGGTATAACTCCATTTCATGAATCTGCAAATTTCTCCACTTCTCCTCCATCTTCTCTGCATTGGCACTTCCAATCAAATACATTCTTCCTTCAAGAAGTTCCTCCTAGACTCTGATAACCCATGGTTTACCCACTGCAATGACTCATTCAATCTGGGATACATGGACAAAAAAATTTCTCCATTAGCCTTTATTCCACAACTAGCTGCTGCTATGTATACACCATTACCCCATATCTTCTTTGAGTGCTCGAATGTCTTGCGCTCATGGGGATTAGAGAAAAATGGATTCATGCCATTTCTTGCATTTTTCCTGTACTTTTTCTTCAGCCTACTGATCTTATTCGCCAGCTGTTTCCTAAACAGAACGACATGAAGAGAATTTTTGATATATTCATAAAAGGCACCCATATCAGTCAGCCCCATTACTCAATTTGTACTCGACCATTCCCTTCAAGATGGAAATTTCATCCTCTTCGCTCCAAAACCTACTAAAAGCAGACTTCTTCTCTTTGATAGCTTGATGGCCATTGTAAACCTTTCTCTTCTTCCTTTACGGCTTCGGTATCTAAGGAGGCTTTATGAGGGGTTTAGAAGAGTGGCATTCAGATTTAGATTCAGATTCAGATTTTGATTCTGAATGAGAATCTTCTTCAGAACTGGTTGAATTGGATTTTTGGATAGCCGGTGATTTTTTGTCAATAGGCAGAGGACTATTTATATCCAAAAATCCAATTCAACCAATTCTAAAGAAGATTCTCATTCAAAATCAGAATCTAAATCTAAATCTAATTGCCAATCTTCCAAACCCTACCCAAAGCCTGTTGTGAAACGTTTGGCAGAGACATCGGAACAAAATGAGATATAGGAGCCACAGAGGAAGAAGAGAAAAGTTGACAATAGCCGTCAAGCTATCGAAGAGAAGAAGTCTACTTTTAGTAGGTTCTAGAGTGAGCAGGATGAAATTGCCATCTTGAAAAGAATGGTCCAGTACAAATTAAGTAATGGGCTGACCCACATACTGATATCCCACATACTGATATGGGTGCCTTTTATGAATATATTAAAAATTCTCTTCATGTAGTTCCGTTTAGGAAACAGCTGACGGATAAGATCAATAGGCTAAAGAAAAAGTACAGGAAAAATGTAGGAAAATGCAAGAATCCGTTTTTTTCTAAGCCCCATGAGTGCAACACATTCGAGCTCTCAAAGAAGATATGGGGTAGTGGTTTATATGTAGCAGCAGCTAGTGATGGAATAAAAGCTAGTGGAGAGAATTTTTTGTCCATGTATCCAAGATTGAATGAGTCATTGCAGGTGGTAAACTATGGGTTATTGGAGTCTGCGAGGAACTTCTTGAAGGAAGGAATGCATTTGCGTGGAAGTGCCAAGGAATGCATTTACGTGGAAGTGCCAATGCAGTGAAGATGGAGGAGAAGTGGAGAAATTTGTAGATTCATGAAATGGAGTTATACCTAAAATGTGTTCACTTAATTCATCAATAGACTAAACTAGTGTTTGATGAAATCAAGTCTATCAAGTCATAGGAGTTTTGGTTGAGATCATTAGTGTTTTTGTTTAATAGGTCGTGAATTTTTGGTAAAATTGGCTACTTATATTTGGTTTTTGGTTTGGTGTAGTTAAATTTTGCTTCTCTAATTCATTGTTGCTTATATAAATGCATTGTTATTTATATTTTTATTTAGGTAAATGCTTATATAGTTGCTTAAATTGAGGAAATTATCATTTATTTTAATTTTTATTATTAGGTTGTTTTGAATAATCTTCTTTCATGACTTAGGTCTTCGATCACTACAACAAACTCAGTAGTTTGCCACAAATTGAAATTACCCCATTTTTCTTTACTTAAATCGTTATTGTCATAGCACCGTCTACATTTTTGGCGAAATTAGTACTAAAATCTCTATTGCCATGATGTGAAGTAAATCAATCCCTCAATCTCACATCTATATATATATATATATATATATATATAGTTACCTAAACATGCATATATATATATACAAGTATAATAAGATACAATACATCCAATAATTAAGGAAAAGCCTATCTATTAAATAATTAAGGAAAAACGTCCTATATTAAAGGGATTTGAATTTAAAAAGGGACTCACAACCCATTAAAAATTGAGAGATTGATACATGGACAAAAAATTTGTACTCGACCATTCCCTTCAAGACGAATATATATAAATATAGTAAACATAAACATATATATATATATATATATATATATATATATATATATATATTAAACATATATCCGTTTACTATATATATATATGCATGTTTGATAGCTCAATTTTAATTTTAATGTTTTAATCTTATCCATCAGCTGTTTCCTAAATGGAACGACATGAAGAGAATTTTTGATATATTCATAAAAGGCACCCATATCAGTATATAGGTCAGCCCCATTACTCAATTTGTACTCAACCATTCCCTTCAAGATGGCAATTTCTTCTTCCTCACTTTAGATCTACTAAAAGCAGACTTCTTCTCTTCGATAGCTTGATGACCATTGTCAACTTTTCCCTTTTGTCTCTGCGGCTCCGGTATCTCATATTGTTTTGACGTCTCTAACAGACGTTTCATAGCAGGCTTTGGGAGGGAATTGGAAGAGCGACAATCAGATTTAGATTCAAATTCTGATTCTGATCCTGAATGAGAATCTTCTTTAGAACTAGTTGAATTGGATTTTTGGACAACTGGTGATCTCTTGTCAAAAGGCAAAGGATTATTTATGTCCAAAAATCCAATTCAACCAGTTTTGAAGAATATTCTCATTCAGAATTTGAATCTGACTATAAATCTGATTGCCACTTTTTCAAACCCCTCCCAAAGCCTTCTGTGAAGTGTCCGACAGAGACGTCGGAACAAAATAAGATACCGGAGTCGCAAAGAAAGAAAAGAAAAGTTGACAATGGCCGTCAAGCTATCGAAGAGAAGAAGCCTGCTTTTAGCAGGTTCTGGAGCAAGGAGGAAGAAATTGCCATCCTGAAGGGAATGGTTGAGTACAAATTGAGTAATGGGGCTGACCCATATACTGATATGGGTGCCTTTTATGAATATATCAAAAATTCTCTTCATGTCATTCCATTTAGGAAACAGCTGATGGATAAGATCAGTAGGCTAAAGAAAAAGTACAAGAAAAATGCAGGAAAAGAAAAGTATCCATTTTTCTTTAAGCCCCATGAGCGCAAGACATTTGAGCTCTTAAAGAAGATATGGGGTAGTGGTGTATATGTAGTAACAGCAGCTTATGGTGGAATAAAGGCTAGTGAAGAGAATTTTTTGTCCATGTATCCCAGATTGAATGAGTCATTATAGTGGGTAAACAATAGGTTGTCAGAGTTTGGGAGGAACTTCTTGAAGGAAGGAATACATTTGTTTGGAAGTGCCAATGCAAAGAAGATGGATGAGAAATGGAGAAATTTGCTGATTCATGAAATGGAGTTATAACTAAAACGTGTTCACTTAATTCATCAACAAACTAAACTAGTGTTGGATGAAATCAAGTTTGTCAAGTCATAAGAGTTTTGGTTGAGATCAGTAGCATTTTTGTTTAATAGGTCGTGAAATTTTGGTAAAATTGTATTTGGTTTTTGGTTCGTGGTTCGGTGTAGTAAAATTTAGCTTCTCTAATCCTTATTGCTTATATAAATGCATTTTTATTTTTATTTATATTTAGGTAAATGCTTATATAGTTTGCTTAAAATGAGTGAATTATCTTTTATTTTTATTTTTATATTTATGTTGTTTTGAACTCTACTAGTATTGGGACCTTGGATAATCTTCTTTCATGACTTGGGTCTTCGATCACTACAACAAACTCCGCAGTCTGCCACAAATTCAAAATACCCATTTTTTTTTTTACATAAATCGTTATTGTTGCAGCGCCGTCTACATTTTCAGCGAAATTAGTACTACAAATCTTTATTGCCACACTGTGAAGTAAATCAATCTCTCAATCTCACACACACACACACATATATATATATATTTCCTTAGTTGGTATTCACACACACATGCCTCCACTGAGACTTGAACCCCTGACCTCTCTTTGAGAAGTAGGAGCTTGGTACCGCTAGGCTACTGGCGTATTGGTTACCTAAACATGCATATATATATATATATATATATATATATATATATATATATATATATATATATATATATATATATATATATATACAAGTATGATAAGATACAATCTCTCCAATAATTAAGGAAAAGCCTATTTATCAATTAATTTCGCCGAAAACGTGGAGACGTCCCTAATTCAATCTGGGATACATGGACAAATTTTTTTTGATATATTCATAAAAGGCACCTATATCAGTATATAGGTCAACCCCATTACTCAATTTGTACTCAACCATTCCCTTCAAGATGGCAATTTCATCCTCCTTGTTCTAGAACCTACAAAAAGCAAACTTCTTCTCTTCGATAGCTTGACGACCATTGCCAAGCTCTTTTCTTCCTTTGCGGCTCCAGTATCTCATTTTGTTCTAATCCTTCTGCCGGACGTTTCACAGCAGGCTTTAGGAAACAACTAACGGATAAGATCAGCAGGCTGAAGAAAAAGTACAGGAAAAATGCAGGAAAATGCAAGAATCCGTTTTTCTCTAAGCCCTATGAGCGCAAGACATTCGCGCTCTCAAAGAAGATATGGGGTAGTGGTGTATACATAACAGCAGCTAGTGGTGGAATAAAGGCTAGTGGAAATAATTTTTTTGTCCATATATCCCAGATTGAATGAGTCATTGCAATGGGTAAACCACGGGTTGTCGAAGTCTAGGAAGAACTTCTTGAAGAAAGGAATGCATTTGATTGGAAGTGCCAATGCTAAGAAGATGGAGGAAAAGTGGAGAAATTTGCAGATTCATGAAATGAAGTTATACCTAAAATGTGTTCACTTAATTCATCAATAGACTAAACTAGTGTTGGATAAAATCAAGTCTGTCAAGTCATCAAAGTTTTGGTTGAGATCAGTATTATTTTTGTTTAATGGGTCGTGAATTTTTGGTAAAATTGGCTGCTTATATTTGGTTTTTGGTTCGGTGTAGTAAAATTTTGCTTCTCTAATTCCTTGTTGCTTATATAAATGCATTTTTATTTTTATTTATATTTAGGTAAATACTTATATAGTTGCTTAAATTATCATTTATTTTTATTTTTATATTTAGGTTGTTTTGAACTCTACTACTATTGGGACCTTGGATAATCTTCGTTCATGACTTACGTCTTCGATCACTACAACAAACTCTGCAGTTTAACACAAATTCAAAATGCCCCATTTTTTTTTTACATAAATCGTTATTGTCGCAGCGCCGTCTACATTTTTGGTGAAATTAGTACTACAAATCTCTATTGTCGCAATGTGAAGTAAATCAATCTCTTAAT